CTGATCGGCGTGGGTGGCTGCACCCTTCCGGCTGATTATAATTGTTCAACACTAGATATCATTTACAAACTTTCATTTTCCGCATAGTTTTCCGCTTTTAAGAGATAATTGATAAATTTCAAGCAATTTTGACGATATGTTTCCAGCAAAGTTAGTCTAAAAATATCATACAAAGACAGAAAACCTGTACCGTTCTGTACTAGTGTAAATTTTGTAAACGGCAAAGTTTTTATAAATCAATATAAATTTATAAATAAATCGCATCCGATATTCTTTGTTAATTTCAGAGCGCGGTTAACTTACTTTAATGGTTGCTCAACACGCACCTGCACTTGCACAACCAACAGTTTATTATCACAGTCATCGGGACATGGACATGGCCAAATCAACCCCCACGAACATTTGGATTGTTCCGGGTCAATGGTGACCATCTAGCTGCACAATGGCTCATTCAATTTATTTTAAAAACCTCTGCGGAGGAGAGACACAGTGCATATTTTAAACGTTTTACTGTTGGCGGCCAATACCAGGGCGCTTATATAAGCGCCCTGGCCAAAACCATGCATGCAAGATTAGACACAGTGTGGGTTCCCCAGAGTACGATTTTGGTCACTCAGGGTAAGGTAGTATCTGAGCCATTAACTATAGTGGGGCCTGCGGGGCCAAATGCCCCCCCCCCCCCAGTATATGCCTTGGAGAGACATACCAAGACACCTCACATATATAGTGCCAGTAGGATGCCTTTTGTAAAAGTCAATAGAAAAGGAAAGCATTGCCATTGTAGAAACCAACTAAACTGTTATCGACGTTATCCTGACCTCGGAACTACATTTAGTTTTAAACTGGTTTTCTTTCGCTTGGAATATAACGCAATTCCATCCTGTCATAACCGTGACTTATTCAATATACTGCATATACATCAGCGGTATCTCGCTGTATGAGACATAAGTGACCGGAATCACAGTGGTGAAATTAAACTACATGTATACCCACGCGTAGGAAAAATGAAAAAAAGAAAGTACATAAGAATATCTCAAACAATTCAAGCTTCCGCATCATGTATGATATCGTCAGTTGCGAGAAGCTACGACAAAGCACGAACAAGGAACTAGACATGATATCGTAAAAGAGATTTACAGTAACTGAAGTGTTCTCTTTCATAACAACTTCCTTATCTGGCAACACCCGAAACAAAATCTTGAGTTTATTAAATGACCGCAAAGGCGGGAAAATCAACGGTAAGAAGATGACGCCATAATAACAATGATAATAACTACATATTATAATTATTATTTATTTGAACTGCCACATCAACTCAATAGTTGAGCAAATATGAAGTTTTGACATAATATTCAACGAAGTGACGTCATACTGTTTATATGGAAAAAATCATATTCAACGTTATGACATCATAATGTTGATATGGAAAAGTCATATTCAACGTTGTGACGTCATGCTGTGGAAATACGAAATATGGAAACACGACCCGAGGTTTTATAAGCGCTGCCTATAGTGTCGGCCGTGTTCGTGGGTTTAAAGGAAACACTTTTAAAATATAAAGAAGAAATATCAAGTTTTGAGAATTCTTCAGTTCCGACCTTTGACACGATGTTCGAGTGTTGTAATGCCGACAGTTAATATCATATTGCGAGGTATATTGGTTAACATACACTGTCGTGATACATAAGTGATTCATGCATTCTGAGTGATGGATGCACGTAGAGCCAGAAGTGAAATTTATGTACAAGACTTGTACATAAATTTTATCTCTGGCTCTACGTTCGTTGTCTCACTTTATCCAAAAACTATAGTTTTAATTTATTTTAGCATTGTTTTTAAAATCATACAACCAACATACCATAAGAGACAGTTTAAGCGCACTATTTTGTTCACTTTACTGTAGGAGTGGGAAAGCAACTTAATTAGCCGACAAAATATGCATCTTGAAATATCGAATCAAGTTAAAATTTTGGCAAGTAAGTTACATTCCATAACGTCTCCTCGTCTATCATATTTCTATTAATCTCATTATTCATTCATATTCTGCAGAAGTGGCTGCACCCTTCCGGATTATAATTATTCGATATTTACACTATGCCCTTTTTATATGTTTTTTTTTGCTTTACAAGATAATTGATTAATTTTCTCTTTCTATATGAAGATAATTGATACGTCTCTAACACATTTGACCTAAAAATATGATACAAAGAAAACTTTAAAGTTGCTCCATGCACGTGTATACTCAATTATCATCATGCACTGTAAGAATTATTTTTGCGTGATAATATAATATTATCACGCAAAAATAATTCTTACAGTGCATCATGATAATTGAGCATACACGTGGAGCAACTTTAAAGTTTTCTTTGTATCATATTTTTAGGTCAAATGTGTTAGAGACGAAAATATTTTATCTATACCTTTTCAAATTAAAACAGTCATGAAAGCTATAATCTTTCTTAATTACTATAACAGAGTTATTGAATATAAGAAACGTTTTCATATAAATATAGTAAATCTGTATATACCGTATATATACTACTAGTAATGACTAATGATGTTGAATTAATTGAACGTTAATGCCTGCAGTTTTAGTGTACATAGATACTTACATAAAACAACATGACGATGTTTGAAGTTTCAAATGTCAATGCCAATGACAGGTAAGTGGCCAACAATTTCATATAATATGTACAAAGAGTTATAAACTAAATTTCTTTACCCGTGACCGTACTTTAGAATAGGACGCTATGCATAGGACATGGACAATAATGACGGAACGACAATACAACTTATTGAGAATGGGTTAATGATTACAGATCCTAGCTCAGTATTCAATAACTATTTTACGACCCCGTCTGTTGAAGAAACAATCTTAAACTTGACTGAACAAGATTTTGAGAATCATATTAGTGTACGGGCAATCAAGGAACAATGTCATGATTTGTATTTCTCATTCCAGCAAATAAACATGGAGCTCGTTAGCAACCTTTTGTTAAACTTAAATGAAAAGAAAGCTAGTGGGCCTGACGGTTATCAACCAAAGTTACTTAAAGCCTCAGCTCCTGCAATTGCTTTGCCACTCACTAATTTATTTAATTATTGTATTGACAAAAGTACCTGGCCGACTGCATGGAAACAAGGAGATGTCACCCCTGTTCACAAAAAAGATGACGCCGTCATTAAAACAAATTATAGACCGATCACCATCTTATCATGCATTCCAAAGCTTTTTGAGAAAATTAAATCCGATCAGTTATACAAACATTTCTCTCCAATCTTTTCAAATAACATGTCGGGTTTTCTTCGTGGTCATTCGTGTGCAACGGCACTTATTAAGCTGACAGGCGACTTTAGAAAGCTCTTGATCAAAAGAAGGATGTGGGAGTTGTAGCAATCGATTTGTCGAAAGCATTTGACTCCATATGCCACAATTTGTTGATTGCAAAGCTAAAGGCTTACGGTCTGCAGGACAATGCGTTGATGTTAATGAAATCTTATTTATTTAAACGAAGCCAGAGGGTGAAATGTAATGGAGTCTTCTCAGATTGGCTGACCTTAAAATGTGGTGTCCCTCAAGGAAGCTTATTGGGACCCTTACTATTTAATGTTTTCATCAATGATCTTAACTGGTATGTCGACAACACATCACTCCGTCTTTATGCAGATGACACCACCCAGTACTCATCTGATACATGTCCTGCCATACTAGAGTACTCGCTTAACCGTGATCTACAGAAATTATCCTATTGGTTCAAAGAAAACTTCTTACAAATCAACAATGGCAAAACAAAAGCAATGATCTTAGGGAAATCTGACTATTCGTACAACCTTAAAATTGACAACCAGCCATTAGAAATTCACGAATCTTTGAGAACACTTGGAGTGACACTGGACAGAAATTTAGATTTCAAGCAGCATATTGACGAGATATTAAAGAAATCCTATGGAATGATTGCTGCCCTACGACGCCTTAAGAGAATGGTTCCGATAAATATTATAACAAGTTTGTACAAAGCGTATGTTTTACCTAATATGGAATACTGTTCTCAACTACTTATTGGAGTGAACAAAACATTGTGCAAGAAACTTGAGAAAGCCAATTGCTACGGTCTAAGAACTGTAATGAACTTGGGTAACAATATCACCTATGACGAACTTTTAGAACTAGCATCAATGCGATCACCCCAACGTAGGAGACTTGAACAATCTTTAATTTTATTCTTCAAGAGTTTTAGAAATGAAGGTCCTGTATATATATCTGACTTTTTTAAAAGACGTAAATCTACCTATAACCTGAGACATAATGGTCTTAATGTTGAACAGGATAGAAACAATAGCCGTTACTTGCATAATTCCTATAGCTATATTGTAGGGCATGTATGGAACAATTTACCGTTCCCTGCAAAATCTGCATCGACATTAGCAGAATTTAAGTTACATCTAAAACATTGCGAATTTATAGGATGTCAGTGCCAATCTTGTATATAATTTCCTAGATTTGTATCTTATTAGTCTCGTTTACCTTTTAATAACTTAATTAATATCCATAATGTAGATATGTATTTATAGTATTATAGTATTATAGTATGTCGTGCACTTTTTACATGAGCCTCCGGCTCGGATGATTGGGTAACCGCATCCTGTGTATACGACTCTAAATAAATCATTACATTACATTACATTACATTACATTACATTACCATGGTTGTTTGCGTTAAATGAGATTCTGAGACATCGATTGTGTAATTTATGTTTCTTAGATTGTTAAAAGATTTGTACTTTTAAAAGTGCCACATATTGATGACTATCCAGCCATAATCCAACGTGGGAAGCATTGCCATAGCGGAAGCCAAAGGTCAGGAACTATGCTATCTTAAACAAAGGTACCGGTCGCACGTTTCTTGTCAAAGCAAAGGATTTATGAGTGGGAGTGAGTCATGTGAGTAACAGTTTACTGGAGAACAACAAAACGTTCTTTTGAGCGTAAAATAAAATTGATGTAACGCCCTGAGCTATATATATATATATATATATATATATATATATATATATATATATATATATATATATATATATATATATATATATATATATATATATATATATATTTTTCAGAGCTAGACCAGTTAAACGCACTGCATAAAGAGGCACTGTCTAGAATATAGACTGAACGATAGTTTATTATAAAGTGTATTCCATGCTTAATAATTATTAACTTATTGCATCATGTAAATACTATACGTTGCTCCCCCTCTATTTTTTAAAACCGGATGTCAATCATGTATTGAAATGTCCTTTCTTTAGTGTTATATAGTTCAACAGTTTCTACAGTCAAGTCTGGTGCTGATATCGTGTTACTGGTCTCCCAGCTAATTATCGTTGATCTTCTTAATTAAAACTTGGCTCTTGCTTTAGTAGTTGTTCTATTCCCGGCTATCTCCTCCTAGTCAGAAAGATATAGGAGGGGAAAACTCACCCGACCAGGGGACAATTCTATTTTGCCTTCATCTTGTGCCTTTATCTTGTGCCTTTACTGCCTTAAAGAAAAGGCTATTAAGTGCATTTCTGTATGTTGGCGTCGTTCAAATGTCTTGTCGGCTCCTGCCGACACGTTTTTCTTCGATTTTCCTATTAATTAAACTCCTATATTGTTAAAACGTGAAATTTCACGTTCATTTACAGAAAAAATAACTTTTCAAACGGTGTTCGAGTTTTTCTGTTCCAAAGAGTGAAAAAGTTAGGCCAAAAACGCACACAAATCCTGGGCACTAGTCTGAAAACACGTTTTCAAACTGCTCATACATAACTCAAGAACTTGAAAAATCAAGGTATGTCTTATATGTAGTTTTTGTAAGCTTTATAATGCTGCAAGTTATGTTTTTTATAAATGAACCTGAAATTTAACGTTTTTAACAATATAGGAGCTTAATTAATAGGGAAATCGAAGAGGCAGGAGCCCACAAGAAATTTGAGCGCCGCCAACATACAGAAATGTACCGTTACCAACCTTAAAGACACAAGATGGAAGCAAAATGGAATTGTCCCCGATATGATGAGTTTTCATTCAGTTTTGATCCTCTATCTGCCCAACTATCAATCCCACTCATTCTCGCCTTCCTCAATTAGCCTTTCTCACGCCGCCATGTTTGGGTGGCATTTCAGCCGAAGTCTGCGAGATAAGTCCACATAACAGCGACTTTTTATAATTTTTTGGACAAATGATGGTAAATTTGATTTGTAAATGGTTAGTTTATTTTGAAAAATTGCTTTTCACATTGTTTTCTGCATTGGTTAACGAGAATTGGATGCCACCCAAAAATGGCGCGGGATATTCGTCATCGTGAGAAAGGCTAAATACCTTCTCAAAGTAAGAAATATTTCTTGCTTCGGTTGTAACTATGGGTTGAGTTGAACTATTTTGACCTCTGGGAAATTCGAGAAAGTGTCAATAACCACAAGCATGTTAGCCTGCGAGCAGGCTCTCTAAGCGTGTAACTGGGCCATATAAGTCAATTGCTACACTGGACCATGGTTTGTCTTCCAACTGCATTATTTGCATTGGCTCAGGGTTATTACTATTTCCTGCTAAGAATGACAAGCGATGCATCTCTTTCACTTGTTTCAGCATCTTCGGGTAGCAGATCTTTCACCGAACAGGCTTTTGGTTTTCTCGATTGGCTGATGCTCGATTGGCCTAATTTTGTTGCTCTTTCTTGAAGTATTTTTGGGATCACCAGACGTGTATTTTTCAACAGTATATCTTCGGCTGCATTGTAAGTAGGTTCGTCAGAGCAAAGTCTAAATGGATTGAGATCCAATCTCGTTCCCCGAGCCTGCGATCCTTGGGAAGGAAACGAAGGCTCTGGGATAATCCATCTCAGAAATGAATATGATTGGTTGCTGGTATACAATGGAATGTTGCAATTTTGCAAAAATTAATTGCTGCCGAGCGTAGCTCGGCAGCACACTAATCTCTACACGTGGTGTGCTTACCACGTGACCGCCGAGTTTATAGCCGCTACAATCTCGATTTATGTCATTCTGTCATCCACGGACGGGCCAAAACTAGCTGTTTTGATATTATTTTTTTGTTCCCGGGGGGGTTTGTTCACAACATGGCGACTGTTATAAACGGACAGAAATATAAAATCATAAAATAATGCGAATTTCCATAAAAATTCCGAGTAATATTTGTGAAGATGAATGGGTAAATAAAGCACGGTGTTATTTTGTGTCTCTGGCGCAAGAATGATCGACAATATTTTGAATAATTCAGGTAAGGATGGCTTTATTTCGTTCTCGTATAGTGATGTAGTCGTGCCGTGTGCCCTGTCTACCTGTCTGGTGATATATTTTATAATACATGAAGGCATTTATATTTAAATCTGCTGTTTATACTTGTTTAGTCACTTTAGTGTATTAAACTTCGATATAGAGCCTAGAGTAGAGGCATGAAACAATATGATTTCAAGAATATATCGGCAATTATAATACCCACTGAATCACTGATCTATTCCCGACCAAATCGACAGTAATGATTAATGCCTTTATGCTGATACAAGAAGCAAACGAACTTTTAGTTTATTTGTTTGTTATGTCACGTTATTATTATTATGTGCAAAGCCAAAGGCGGTGAGTATATAATAGTGTTCGGTACGTTCTATTTCTAGATGTTTATAGTTTAAAAACAAACGCGGGATGTTGTTAAATCAGGCTTAACAAGATTCCTAGAGCTATCCAGTGTGGATTGTTGTCTGCATATATGGACTTATCAGCAATTACATGTAATATAGCATATCAACTGACTTTTGTAGAAGATATGACTTGTATAAGACTGCCTTAGTTATATATAAAGCCTATAAACATGATTCTACTGACATACATTGATATATACATATGGCTGTGTTACCACAATAATGCTCACAACTTCAACTTCTTTCTAACAATATAGTTTTGCAGTTCTGACTGTTCTGAGTATGATCTTATTCATTCAGAAATATAAGCATTGCACTGTATTCAATGGCAAGCTATCCTGGATTCCAGAGCCTTCAGTTAATAATAAATTGAAATATCGTGAAGGCTCTGGTTCAACGGGAGGATTCTTTGATTAAACTGTGCCAATCACAAAACAGAATTAGCAGTTTTAGTACAGATTTTGGGCGTGTTAACCCATTAAGCGCCAGCGCTCTCCCCTTGACGAGTAAAATCGTCTGGCGTTAGACAGAGTAAAATACTGTTCAAAGTAGGGTGCATCAGGGTGCAATGCGACTTAATGGGTTAATATAGTACATAACATAGGTCATAGACATACAGTTTCAATACAATACAAAATGATTTTGAACAATGTCAAGATCAATGAAATCATACAAAATGAATTTATGGAATATCAATTAAATGTATTTAAAGCAAACATAATTTCAACATCCCAATAAGCAATAACATCCCAGTAAGTATAAATTCAACTATTTTAAATCAATTGTTTGAATAGCCAAATTAAAAGTTGTACGAGTGACAAAATCATTCAATAATATTCACATTTTATCATTTATATTATGTGTCAACTATCAAAGTCGCACTAATAAGTATATTAAAATATACTTTTCATAAGATTAGATGTAAGATATAATTGTACGAAGGTAACTGAGGAACGACGATGTGTAAGACAATAAATCATACATACAGTGAAAAACGCTCTTTTTGTGGCACATCCTACATGTACATATCGGCAGCATTTTCCTTGCGATAGTAACTCCTAGTTTTTAACCGTATATTTTTACATACAACATGGCGGCCGTTTAGGAGTGTACGAATATTGTTTTGGTGTTTCAGAGCTGTGCTGTATACTAATACTACAAAGGAAATGCGAAGAAACGTATACTTAATGCGTATAATATCACAACAGTTAAATGGAGCGTGAAAACTTTACTCATATTTGTGTTGTACAGGTTTTCTGTAGTTTTAATCTATACATAGTATACAGTACTGTCAGTACACAGTCTGTATTATTTGACTATAATATCAAATATGTGCTATATTTTGCAAATACTATTTGTGTCAGAAATGGTTAATAACTTTTATTAATTTGTCTTTGTGTTATTTAATTGCGAAGAACTAGCTAATGACTAGTTTCAATAAATCCAATCTTGGGATTTATATTTTATTATTTAATGTATATACTGTACTGTAAACTTTTCAAGTGCAGGAGTATGTAATACTCATTTTAACTTGTAGCATGTAACCTTTCCCTATATGGGTACATGCATATGAATCTTTTGTTATAATTTATTTATAGAAGTGTTCAAAAAACCTTTATTCTCTAAATAAACCACAATTTCGTAGGCAGTGATATTAACTTGTATTCCAGTCTGCATACACCTAATACATACAATGAATTCTTGGGTTTCACTAGGCATTTTTCACGTTCTGACGTGGGGTCAACCTAAAATGTATTGATGCTTATGCTGTACTGGAGTGAGTAAATGATATGAAATTGCATGTATTTGCCACCAAACACAAGGCCAACACATACAGTGAAAAATTAATTCACTCTGATGACTGTGTCTCGATTTAGAGTTGACCCCCCGTCAAATTTATGACGTCATATGAAACACAATAATATACAGTATAATATTACAGCTAACTGTAGCAGAAAGTATTTAATAATTTAAATTTATTGAGTAGTACAATATGCCAAATTGGCAATCCCTTTATTAATCTTGTCCACACAGTAATTCAAAGAAGCCCTGCACTCTGTACGAGGTTGTATTAATTGGATTCTGTCCAAGAAAACATCATAAACCTTTCATCCAAGTATGAATTCCAGATTGGGAAACCATATAAATATTTTTAATAAATTCATATACTTTTTTAAAGAAATGTTCTATTCACAAAAATATTAAATGATAGTGATCAGCCACTAAATTATACCAGAATTCATTTTCATCAGCTTCCCCCTGTTATGACCCCGTGCAGGGAACCACCTAGGGTGCAGGTATAATTTTGTGATGAATGA